CAGGTAGACCAGACAGTGAGCAACAAAAGGCCACAGCAGCAAAAAGACGACAGTCTGCCCAGACATGTCAAACGGCCACGACATCTGTTCCTAAGGGTGGGGGGTGGGGGACAAAATCCCACAGCATGTGAGAAAAAAGCCTTGTGACCACATGTTTGTTTACATGAGCATGCATTATAGGTCAATATTCTTGATGAGTACAACCAGAGCCTGGTACCTGTTGTGGTGAACACTGCAGGTGTGATCTCAAGTCTGAATTGTGAGCCTGCCACACACAACACAGCAGTAAACTGAAATGACTTCCTGTAAGCCTGTAATTAAGAGCTTTTATCCTTTACATTTAACGGTAAAGAAACACTTGAAGTGTTGGGACGTGTAAAGCTTACGTGTGTGGCAGCAAGCCTCTCCAACACCTCCAACCTGTCCATCACACTCCTCATGTCCTCTCTGAGCCTCTGAAGAGCCAGGATGATCTGCTGTTGTAGGTGAGCCTCATGCAGCATCTCTGCACCACCTTCTGAACCGTGCCCTCCTCCACCTCCATGCCCACTTCCATCACCCGGGGACCGCCCCAGACTTCCCTGTGGAGCACCTGTGGACCATAACACTTCAACTGTCTCTGTATTCATTTATTTATTATAACAATCTTTAGGATGAGATGTTATTTCATTGCAACGATGAGTATTTCATTTATACCCATCGTTACAGCGCAGAAAGCTGCTGCAGGATCCTCCTGAACGACAGGATTCGCCACAAAGCCCGGGCTGCGCAACACATGATAACATTTAGCTGTTTTTAACAGTAGAACATTTCTGTGATATCTCTTTAGTAACTAGCTGATAATTCTAGCTCGTCTAGTATAGAAGATAAAGAGCAGCAGCTTGTATCGCACAAAACTAAATGACTTTGACAACGTCATTGTTCTAATGAGCTCGTACTAACTAACAAGAGTGAACTGCATCCAAAGCGCTTTACACAACTTGCATTAATCACGCCCACACGAACCCTTTTTATCTTTGTGTAAGTGCTTGCGATCTATGATTCACAAATTTATACTCCAATGGATGCATTGGTGTCTTGCCCCCTGGATCAGGGGGCCACCCAACACCAACCTTCCGATTAGTAGATGACCTGCTCGATCTCCTGAGCTACAGCCACCCAGTTTATCCAATAATAAATTGAAGTCAAAGGAGCTTGCAAAGAAAAGCGTCTGGACTTCTTTAAGTTGCTTGAAGACGTTTCACCTCTCATCCGAGAAGCTTCTTCAGTT